TCTGCAGTCACTGGAGCAAGCCTTCCCTGTTCGCGTCAGTGCATGGCTGCTGGCCGCCATCTTGGCTGACAGTTAATTTGCATAAGGATATGCTGATTAGCCAATGGGAAGGGTAGCGGTCGTACGCTAATTACCATGTTTCTCTTTTATTAGTGTATGTATATTGCTTAGAGTGCAGCCTGATCTGTCCATGAAGGAGTGTGTCCTGCAGTCTTGTCATTTTCCTCATGTGTATTTCTTCGCAGGGTGAAATCTGCCTCTGTACCAGCAGGATCTTTGTCCAGAAGAGCATCTATAGTGAATTTTTAAAGAGGTTTCTAGAAGCTACCAGACTATGGAAAGTAGGCATTCCCTCCGACCCATCGGCCAGCATGGGAGCTCTGATAAGTAAAGCTCATTTGGAGAAAGTAAGTAAATCTCTGCCATGTATGTCACTGGAGAGAAGCTCAGTGCAAGGCATAGCACACGCCCATGCTTTGGAATACTGTTAATTACTACCTTATTTTTAAGCAGTTATGACCTGTGGGAAATTATCTCTGGATACAGAGTCTAAAAATGTTGGATGTGAATAAACAAATGTAGTGCAGATTTAAAACAGCATCTGTGTGAAATGAATGCACTTGAGAAGTCAGCATGGAGATACCACCAGAAGAGTGAGAAAGGCAATTTTCAAAGCATAAAGGTCAAACTTTCCATAAGTAACTGTTCCCAGTGGAGAGGGTGCTGCCTCTGGCTTACAGCAGATAGGATTTTGTAATTTCCAGAACACACAGTCCAAATTATGTGGTTTTTAGTTAGTGGAGTGACTAGTGGTGGCCTACGTGGGAGAAGCCATTGATGGTGTATGGGTGGTTTATGGGATTTTGATTTCTAAAGTCATTTTAATTTATTACCTGATGTGACTCTTCCCAAAATAAGTCATAGATTTTGGTACTGAAGGCTCTTGTCTTCAGCTGCAGTAACTAAGGCCCACCAAGGAAAATGTGCCTCATCATCAGTCACTAAGGGGCAAAGCCGTTACTTAAGTTTGTAGAAATCTGTGGCACTGCACTGATTTGGCAGACATAGCCCATTTTAACGTTGACCTTCACAATATTGTGAAGCACAGGGGCTCATAGGTGGGCAGGTAATGTCGCTTGATGGTCTCTTCTTTTTTTTTTCTCAGTGAAATAGGAAGCAGGTGACAGGGAGAGAAGGTGTTGGGGGTTTCAGGAGAGAGGAGAAGGTATGGAATAGTCTTGCAGATCAGGAGAGAGAATGGACTTTGAGATGATTGTGTTGTCAGCAGGCAGCTCCAAGGGCTCATTGAGGCTTGTGGTCACTTATTTAAAGTGAGGCTAACCAGCATGGCTGTTTTCTTCCAGTCGAATTCGCCTGCAAGATTACAGGTGCCTAGGCAGCAGTCCCCAGAGTGCCCATGGGACCTATAGTTGTGGATGTTGCCCCCTCGTGGAATGAGGAATCACCAGGTGCATGAGGCTTCTTTGTCCTCTCTTGTCCGGCTGTTCTGGACACTCGGCCTCCATGCCTGCCCACCCACACATGCAAATAACTGTTGCAAAACAAGCTAAGCATGCTCTGAACGCTTCCTATGGAAGCATAAGTTAACTTCCAGAAGCATTTTTGCAGTAGGCTCTGGGGCTTGGTGCAGTCTGAAGTCCCCTTTGCAATTCACCACTCACCTGAAGTTTAAAGTTCTCTATATAGGAAATCAACAGAGAGACTTTTTTTTTTCTATCATAGGCCATAATTTACCCAATAAAGGGAGATATATCAGTGAGGGAAATAAAAGTATTTGATTTTCCTGTGGGCTTTAACATAATACTTTTTAAAATATATTTTTATTTATTTCAGAGGGGAAGAAAAAGGGAGTGGGAGGTAGAAACATCAATGATGAGAGAGAAACATTGATTGTCTGTCTCCTGCAATCCCCCCACTGGAGATCGAGCCCGCAACCCGGGCACATGCCCTGACTGGGAGTCGAACTGTGACCTCCTGGTTCATAGGTTGACACTCAACCACTGAACCACACCGGCTGGTCATAACATGATATTTCTGATGCTCAGCATGACCCTACTTGCCCACAGTGGCCTTTTCTTTAGGCTGCCTCATGGTTCTTCTGAGCTCCACCCAAGGCCCCCTTGTAGGCATCTCTGCTCTCTGACAACAAACAGCTTCGGCCATATGAGTTGCTCTTCCCCACACGGGCAATAGGCCTTCTTCAAAGCCAGCATCAGACCCTGTGGGTGCTCATTAGATGTCCCAGGATGCCGCTGGCAATCAAGAGGAGGCAACTTAAAACCTGGTTGTGCTGCACTCACACGCTGTCCTTTTAAGAGGGTCTTGTATCCATGCTGATATTTCCAGATTAGCCAAGTTACTTTTAAACCTTGCTTTAGTATCATGGTTATTTGATAACCTGGCTGTGATGTATCTTGTTATGTATGGTCATACCTCATCTTGTTCACAGTCAAGCCTGAGTCTTTAAAGTGACCCAGGAGTCTGTCACCCATTACCACTGTCCCTCTTACCTCTGTCACCCTTCCCCTCCCTCATTCTGCTGCTGCACGCTAACCTCCCGATTCTTCCTGGAAAATATCAGGCCACTCCTTCTTGCCCTTTGCTCTTGCTGCCCATGCTCCATGGAATGTTCTTCCTGCAGAGATTTACTTGGCTTTCTCCTTAGATCAAATGTTACCTTCTGAATTAGAGCTTGCCTGCTCACCCTATATAAAGTCACACCTACCAGAACTTCCTCTGTCTCTTTGCAGCTTTATTTTTCTCTGTGACTCTTACTACCACCTGACATATAATATATATTATTTATTCCTTTATTGACTATTTTTACTTGACTAGAGTGCAAGTTCCATGATCAGTTTCATTCACTGCTAGATCCTTACATCTCAAAAAAGTGCCTGGAACATAATAGGTGCATATTATTGTTGGACAAATGTTTGAATTAACACTACATCTTGTGTATTAGTTATACCCCCAAACTGGAGGATTCCATTTTCCTTGAACACTTGAACACAAGCATCTGGTATCACTGATCATTAAATCACAATCACAATAAAAAATCCATATAAACACACACAAGCCTTTGAGATTTTGCTTCAGACTCTCCTCTAACTCTTCATTTTTTCATTGGTTATTTCAGCTTATGTCACAGGCAACTTTAGAATTTAATTCTAGTTTCTTAAAAATCTTTGGAAAAATATTGGTGTTCAACACCTCATTATTATACAAATTCAACTTCTTACCTGCCAACTAAGAATTTCAAAAATATGATCAGCTTATTTTCTAAATTCATTAGAGATTTTTACAGACTTACTACAAATAG